GACGCGGGCCTGCAACAAGAAGGTGGCCTCTAGGATTTCGCGCTTGGTGTTTGGGGCGTTGGGATTTCCTGAACCTTGAACCCAAAGCCAAAAACCCTTCCCGCTGAACCCTACCCTAAACTCTGGTCTGGGGCATTGGGTTTAGGGTCTGAGGGGCTGAGGGTTCTGGGCCGGTTCAAGCACAAAGCCGCGTGCCGCGAGTGATAGCGCTAAGCCTTCCGCCATGAGAAGATATGCTGCCAGGAATACCTTAAGCTGTTCAACTGAAGCCCGGTATTACTTGCCATGATCATTTGATTGCCTTTACCCCATAGTGGGCAGCATCGATCGCCAGGATGAGACATTCCGTGTAGCTGCACGCCAAGCATATTTTAATGTTGATGGTGTTTCGATGTGTATGCATGTTTGTCGGCCGAGCTCAAGAACTCGTTGGTGTGCTTGGCATTGATGCTACGAACCTCTTGCTTGGATCGTGAGGCCATCGCCAACTTGCAAGACAAGTCACTACTGCGGAACTTCAAGGAATCGGTTGCAGCCCGGGTGATGTCGATGAGTCCGCGGTGGCCGCCATCAGGCAAGCGGTCTTCAATGAAAAGTATCCGGATGGCTCTCGGGGGGCGATCAGACTCCGAAGTGGTGGGGTGGAGCCTTGAAGAAGGCACGGGCCGAGGTCACGGAACAGAACCAGAAAACCTGCGACACGGAGGTGCGGGAAAAAGATAACGCGAACAAGCAGGCAAATGCTAAGGCAAAGGCCATAGCAGCAGCCGAAATGATGGGAAGCCCCTCATCGGAATCAATGCCTGGCCTCGCTGGTCAAAGGATCACACGGCCAGTGTCCAGTTGAACAAGCAGTTGACGAATAGTGTCACTGCGAGAGAGAGAGAGAGAGAGAGAGAGAGAGAGAGAGAGAGAGAGAGACAGAGAGAGAGAGAGAGAGGGAGAGAGACGGGGTTTTTGACATGGGGCTTGACTTTCGGCCTAGTTTCAGCTTAGGGTTTTCACACGGGCATAGCAGCCCCAGAATAGATTCAAACAGCGCTCAACGATTTAGGAGTTAGGGCTCAGGGCTTGCGGGTAGGTTGTTGAGCCGAGCTCACACGTTTGTTTTGGGATTCGCTTGCTAAATGGACCAAACTGAGGGCTTATTGAGATTTCATGTCCGACCGGAAACACATGTTTAGCCTAACGATGGTTCACCTTGCACATTTAAACGTCGACCTCTGCCTGGAGTCTACAACATAAGCTTCATTGGTTTGCAGCGAGAGCTCGATGCACACTGTAAAGGCCTTTTTTACCCTTTTGTGCTGTCCAACCTGGAGCCACCTAAGACCATAACCGGCGCCCCACATTTCTAGTTGGTTTGAGCTTATCTTCCTGGCCCGAACAGGTTCAAGGTTTCGGGTTTAGGTCTCAGGCCCAGCACCTTAGAAGCTGCCCCCACCCTGTAATAGTGACTATAAGGATTATAGTAGGGCCCTATTATATTCCTATTATACCACTATTACAGGGTGGGGGCAGGTTCTAACCAACACCTCACACAGCGAAGCTCCACGAAAAAACGGCCGCAGCTTGAGCCGGGGGACAACTGTTGGACCTGTGCCGCCGGCCACTGCTGCCAGGTTGCCCACCTTGGCGAGGGGAGAAGTTTATCTCTAAGGGTTCTATGTGTATATATATATATATAGAGAGAGAGAGAGAGAGAGAGAGAGAGATTGTTTTTGACGTATACTGATTCTACAAGAGGTCGAAAGGGCTTCTACAAGGGAGGGTATGGCTACCGTTTGGCATCGCAGTCATCAAGTTCAGCCTCCTTGCCTGCGAGCTTGAAGTTGTGTAGGGCTTTAGGATTCTGTGTAATTGGGGCTGCAGGCTTTTTTGGGGGTTCGGATTCGGATTGAGGGTTTAGGGTAGTGCTTTCAGGTTAATTCCGAGAGACTACGATGCAAGAACTTTTGCGCGTGTACGGTTCAGCCGTTTACAGTACAGGTGTGTTGCTCTGTGGCAGACTCGGCTCCAGAGACCCTACACCCTAAACCTTAAACAGGCTTTTTGATGCATGTTTACCAGTGGTTTAAGGGCTTAGGCTTTAGGGTTTATGGTATTTATGATTTCTGGGCCAACTTTTGCTAAATCCCCCTGCGACAACGATTACAACAGTTACCTTTACAACATGGGAGCAGTGTGCAGTATAATGCTCGGCATGCCCCTTACGAAGGCAATGGTGCTATAAAAGGGGGGGAAGCCCAAACCGTAAGCGCAAGCCTACGGCAGCACCAATCCGAGGTCTTCTCTCAATCTGTTTTGCCTTCAGCCAGAGCTTTAGGGTTTAGGGTTTAGGGTTTATGGCATATCGTAAGCACAAACGCAAAACCCTCCCTCGAACTGCAATGCTTGTTCAGGCTGCTGGAAACACTCGATACATCAGAACCAATGGCCCCCCTCGTAAAGCAAGAGAACAAGGAGTCTGCGACAGATTTACCTTAAAGCCTAAACCATTTTGTAGCTTCGATACAAAGGTGGCTGCAGGCGAGTGACCCGAAGTTCTACAATTCCGAAGCCTGAACCCTAAACCTCCTCAAGCGTAAGCCCTAAACTCCCGAAGTCAAAGCACTGACCCCTAAACAACCTCAACTAAATCCGAAACGGAAGTTGTATGTTCTGACAGATATATTCTCAAGTAATAGGAGAAGCAGCTACTCGTCAATAACCACCCAAAGCCATGCAACCCCGCCTTCGAATATTGAATTCGAAAGCCGTGGCCGATTGCCAAAAAGCAAAAACACAAAAACAATCTACGGGCCCGGCAAACCGCAACGCCAACAATCTCGAATCCGCCGAGAATCCACCAAAAAAAGCTCAAAACTCGGGGGCCGGTACCCTAAACAATTCCTAAGAAGCTTAAACTCTAAATCCTGAAGTCTAAACACTCTCAAGCCGAACCCCCGAGAGGAGCCGTCGGTGCGCTGGATTTGTCAGTTTTCAGTCTCTGACCACACGGGAACCCAGTGCGGGCCCTGCTGCCCGGGTTTTGAACCTTCAGCCGCTTCGCAAAGTTTCCTAGTAGTAGAGTAGGTAACCTTTAACCTTTTTGGGTAGTATAGTCCCTATATAATCCCTATATAACCAAAAAGGTTAACCTTTACTTCCCCATGATACCCGACAAGTTGGGTTTAAGGGCTGCGGGCTGAGAGTTTAGAGCTTACGGTTTGGGATGGCTTAGGCCCTCGCCAGGGTATCGAATAAAGATTTTATGTCTTGGGGGCTTTGGATTCGTGTGTAGGTCACCAGTTCTGGTGTTTTGCATTCAATGTCGGACTGTGGTCGGTTGCTCAAGTAGCATGCATAGGGTATTGCAGATCGAGCTTGCAGTTCAAAATGCCCCATCTGATGCCCCCGAAAGTGGCCCTAAACCCTAGACGCGGTCCTACTTCTGTGGCCCCTGGGTTGGGCAACTTCTGCAGATCTGGGGTTTTGGCTATGAAGGCATGAGCAAGTTTCATGTCTCGAGTCTCCCTGGACCCCCCAACTACCCTTTACTGTAGTCCCTAATTACCTCTTCATGAGAAATATTAGAGCCCTTTACAGGGTACTTGGGGGGTGCTGGTGCAGTGTGGGCTCAAGAATATGGTTTCCTTGTCGTAGAGCAGGTGACCTTTAACCTTCTTCGGGTACTTTTAGCTGGGTGGTTGTCAATATTATGGTCCCTTTTTGGGTACCCTAAACATTTTGGTGCCGTAAGGAACCCAAAAAAGGTACCATAATTTTGAGAACCACCCAACTTTTTATCTGGTACCTTTAGCTTTTTAGGTCCTTAGGGGTATTATTATGCTGATGCAGTCATGGGAGCCTGCAACGTCCACTGGGTGCGTGCCGCGCTACGGCTCTTCTCCTGTGATGAGGCCCGAAGCCCTAAATAGTCCCTAAATTAGGACCCGGAGTAAGCCCTTATTCCTTTTTTTACGGATTCAGGTTCTCTTCTAAGCCCCTAAACACCAAAAAGGGCACCCTTTTTATTCCTAGGTCACGCTTGGGTCTAGTAAAGGATTCTCCCAGTACCTGAAAACGAAACTCTCTGCACTTCAGTACCCGAGGCTCTGCACCTTCCCCGCAAGACCTTATGCATAGCCTTGGGCCCTAAACTTTAAGGATTAAACCCTACACCGGTAGAGGATTATGGCTTTAGGCTCCAGGGATTCAGACTCTCGGCACCGAAAACAACCTCCAATGTCAAAAGTGTAAGTAAGCCACAGATCCTAAATCAGAGAGATTATCCTCCATGTAGATTTAGGGTGTATTCCAGAGGATATCAGAGTCTCTTGGAAAGGGCTCTACGGCTTATGAGGGATTCATGGTTCTACTTTGCTCAGGGTTCCAATATTCAGGATCCTTAACGTTCGGAGCCCCTAAATGAGGATGTTGTTTGTGTTCGTTGTTCTCGGACTCATCTATGTAAACCTTAACAGATTTCGGCTTTAGTCGGGCGGTGTTGTTAAATCTAGCGGTTTCGGCTTTAATCGGGTGGGGCGGTCAACTTTAATCTTTATCTGGGCTGGCAGTGCAGGTTATGGTTGATTTGCTGGGAGGCACCCTGAACCCTAGACCCTGAACCCTAAACCTTAAACCCTAAACCTTAAACCCTGAACCCTGAACCCTAAACGTTTTGTAGTTGCGGCCCATAGGACACAATATACTGGCCATAATAATTAGAATAGGGTTTTGGGGTCCATTATACTAAAATTACAACAAGGAACCCTCAAAATAGTGTGATGTTAGGTAGTTGTTTAGGCCCCATATTACGTGGTTAGGGCTTTCTCCGCGCGATAGAACTTGACGGGGTTTCCATACAGGGTTTTGCCGCTTTCCCAGATGGGTTTTACGGATTGAGGCTGTTACTCAAGGATCATGGGACTTAGTAAGTAGGTTATAATTGGGATTATAAGTCCCCTGAGTGGGGTTATCCTAACCACTTATAACCTTACTTACTAAGTGCCATGAGCCTTGAAGTAGGGCGGCGCAAGGGTTCAGAGTTTGGGGCTGTCGGATTCGGGTGCAGAGCATGTTCCGAACCAGAATTCGTCCTGAATGATTCTCAAGGCTTCGTCAGGGTGGTAGGAAGGTCGAAAACAAAGGGACTCCAATCACTCTAATCTAGACCCTAAGTAGTAGTAGCTTCCTTCCCTCTTGTACCCCTACATCACCGGCCCCCAATATTCGTTGAGCCTGCTGCTCCCGTTGAACGTGCAAACCCCCAAGACCCTCAACTCTGTGCCTCGTTGCCGCGTAGGAGTCGCTCCTGTCTTCTCGGTTTCCGTGCCGCAAGCGCCGTGCCTCGACTGAATCATTCCCGGCCAGGGTAACCAACCTGCAGCCGACTCACAAAATCACGGATCCACACTGAAAGGATCATGAGACTTAGTAAGTAGGTTATAACTGGGGCTATATGTCCCCTAACTGCGGTTATCCTAATTATAATTATAACCTCACTTACTAAGTCTCATGAGCCTTTAAGCAATGCTGCATTCTGGATATCATGTCATCCAGGAGTTCCTGCCTCGTCTGGGCTGTCTCTGGTGTACGGGCCCGGGATAAAAGGTACTCCACATACACAAAATAGTAGAAATTGTCATTGTGAGTAGATACTACTTAGAGCATCATGGGACTTGGTAAGTAGGTTATCATTGGGGTTTTAAGTCCCCTAAGTGGGGTTATCCTAATTTGAAACGCTGCGCGTCGTCCGCCTCGGCCCGGCTGTACGCGCATGCGGCGAGTGGCTACTATCTGCAGCAAGCTGTTGTAGGAAAAAAGTAACAGTTGGAATCGCACTTATAGTAAAAGTATTGTTCATAGCAACACGAAGCAGGATGATTGTGAGTAGTATTAGTAGTGGTAGTATCAGTACGAATTTTGGTGTCGTCATTCCGAAACACTGGATACCAAGACTCTCGCAAGCGGCGGGATGCCTTAAGTATGGGCCGTTGAGGCTGTGGATTTCGTGGGCGTCTTGGATTAGGGTAGCATCACAGCCTTTTCAACCACGTTACTCCACGAAAGGGCGTCTAAAACAAGCCTGAGACGCACATAAAGATGCTACATTGCAGTCCCGTGTCGTCGAAAACTCCGAAAGCTCGCACCTGTCAGCGAGCGGAGGGAAAGGGGAGTGGGGGGGGCGGGAGGGGGGGGGGGGGGGGGGGGGGGGGGGGGGGGGGGGGGGGGGGGGGGGGGGGGGGGCGGTGACCAGGATTTTGGTGGTGTCACGAATAGGAACCTCTGACCGCTTCGGCCGGGGCCGAGGCGAATTTTAACCTACTTATAAGCTTACTTACTAAGTCCCACGGGCCTTCAAGTACAGAAGCGCGCTGGATAAACTTCTCAAACTCCTACAGAGCCTGGCTTGGGTGCTTTGCCTGCACATGACATGCTCACAAGATAACATCACCGGAGCCTTGCGTTGTTTCCTAGACACACCTCGTTGGGATTCACCCAGAGAACGTCAAAGAACAAAACTTGCTTTTGTTTAACTGGCCCCTCTTTCGGCGGACGGCAACGGGCATCTAACAGAAAAACAACCTTAAGCCCAAGCCCCTAAACCCTAAACCCTAAACCCTAAACCCTAAACCCTAAGCCCAAGCCCTCAATCCTAAACCCAAAAACTTCAGGCTCTAAACTCTGAGTTCCTGACCAGAGGGCTACCAAAAATTAACTGGCATATGCCTCCAACTAAACTTGGCCCTTATACCCCTGAAAGCCCCTTGTTTAAGGTCTGGGATGGGATTGGAGTTCAGGGCATACTGGCAAAAAACGAACCCCTAAACTACTAAGCCCCCTATGCTAGCAGCAATATACCGTTCTTCAGAGGCCCCCAGTAGAAATCTTGACAACAATAAAACAGAAAGAAGCAAACACAACAACAAATGGAAGAATCGAAACCCTGAAGCCCTCAACCCCGAAACCCCTGTAACCCTTAAACCCCTAATCCCCAACCCATAACCCCTACCTAAACCCCTAAACCCCTAAACCCCTAAACCCCTAAACCCCAAACCCTAAACCACTAAACCCCTAAACCTCTCAGACCCCTAAACCCTAAACCCTCGTAGAACCCGCATGGATCCCTTTAAAGGAAGCTTAAACCCCTAAACCCCGAATCCCGAAACCAACGCCAAGTCCAGGCCGCGCCTTGGAGGGGTCGCTCCCGGGAAGGCTGCCCTTGGGGAATCTTCCACCAGAGGCCGGGGGGGCTCCGGATCTTAGGGTTTGTGGGTTTGGAGGGTTTAAGGGCTTAGGTGTTGTAGTTAGGGGTTTAGGGGTTTAGGCGGTTTAGGGTTTGGAGCAGAGGGTTTAGGAGTCTAGGTGTGTTTGGAGTGTGTCTTTATACTTGTAGGGTTCGATTTTGGGGTATCGCGGGTTTTGCAGGGGTGTTGAATTAAAGTGCGTTTATCGGCACATGTACGGCATGCTAAAGCTTTCTGTCTGGTGCTTAGTAAGGAATGGATCCCTATAGGATCCCCTATCTAATCCCCAATAAGAGTCTCCATAACCCATTCCCCCTTTCCCTACTGAGCACAAGGGAGTTTTTGCTGTTGCGTTGCATAGGGATTCATAAGGGTTTTGAGATGCTACGACGCAGGGGTCTTAGTTCTTAAGAACTACCCAGAGAGCCCAACACCCCTTAATTAAGGAATATGCTTAAAGTTGTAAGGGACCTCATGCTATGATTTAGGCTATATTCCAAAATTAAGGGGTATTGGGCTGTCCGGGTAGAAGGGGGCTACGGGGCCGATTCCAGTTTAATTAGAGCGCAAGTGTAGGGTTGTGGGTACGTGTGCCTTTGAGGGCCTATATCTTCGATCTATCTGTCTACCTTCCGACCTAGCTATCGATCTAGTTTGCTAGCACTGTGCGTATGTATGCACAATGTACAACCCTAAACCCACAGACCCTGGAGATTTCCCGCGTCCAGGTTCTGCATGCCGTGGTCCTCTGCTTCCGGAGAGGCCGGGTTTCCTTTTTAAGGCTTCAGGGCAAACGGCTTTGGGGGCCTCTGTATGGTAGGCCTGAACCGCCCTATAGATCTGATATAATGGTGTATGCTGGTAGTTAAAGGTATCTTGATTTCGGGCTTTTGCGGTTGAGAGTTGAGTGATAGTAGCTAAATTAGCGGTACGAAGTATGCAGTTCCGGCTTCTTAACTGTTGCAGCCACACCTTGGGCATGTGGGTTGTGCTTGTTCAGTTCTGCTGCTGGTGTGATTTTGCAAGACTCCGTCGTCTGGGGGGTTCGAAACCTAGTATCCGAACGAAGAGCCCTTTGTAGACGGCCTCTTCAATACAAGAGGGAGAAGCTCGCCGTTACGTGACAAGCATTGACTTGAGGTTATGTGTTCATTGGCCATGCTGTTTTTTGTCTCAAAGGGGATATAGTACCTATATTAAGGGTATGTACCTAGGGGTCCTTATTAAGGGCCCCTTTTACCCTTGGTTGTCGGTGCATTTTGGGCATTTCCCGCCGAGCCACAATGCCCAATGCCCCGGGGTCCGAAGACCTTGAGTCCTCAACAATACTTAAAGGATCATGAGACTTAGTAAGTAGGTTATAAAAGGGGTTATAATTCCCCTAAGTGGGGTTATCCTAATTATAAACCTACTTATAACCTTACTTACTAAGTCCCATGAGCCTTTAAGTAAGCCCTAAACCCTAACCCCTATAAACCCTAAACCACTTAAAGTGGGTTTACGGGAAGGGATTGAATATTAGTTGCCAAAATAAGGAAACCCCATTATTCACTATAGATCCCACACGCGGCACCTCGAAAAACTTATATTCATGTAGATCCCTAGTATGGTAGCTTGCATTAATTCCCAGAACAAACGCCCAGTCAAGTCGTTTCGAATCTCTACACTCCCAAACGAGCTTGCCGGACAGGGTTTAGGTTTACTTAGGGTTTAGGAATCAAGTAGGAAGCCGAAAACCTTCAAGTTCTAAATTCAAGCCCAACAGATTCCACGGTAGGGCCCGAACCTAGAAACCCCATACACCCCTATGTCCAGAACTACTAACAGTCCCTGCAAGGATCTTTTCAAGGAACCCTTAAGGCACCGTAAGGGCCTTCATAGTTAGAACAGGATTTTGGGGGTTCCTTATACTATACCCCCAGACCCTATTCTAATTATTAAGGCCCCGACATTAACCCCGAACGTATGCGCTAAGTTCGTGAGGCGACCTCCAAAGCCTCGCCATTTGCGCTGCCGTGAGCCGGACCTTCTTAGGCCATTCGGTGCTCTTTTCTTGAGGTCCCAGAAAGTTAAAGGAGGGACCCCAAAAAGGACTTTGGATTTAGGGTTCAGGGTTTAGGGTGAGCATAAGCATTTTATAGGGATGTCCCTCCCTTGTTGGGCTTCATTGTAAGGGGGTTGGGATCCCACAAAGGGAGTCAGGGAGGTAGGCTTTGGGTTTTTGGTTTAGGATTTCTTTATGAATTTTGGGCTTATGATTTGGAGTCGAGGCTTGTAGGTTGTTGGGTTGGGGTCTAGGGGGGAAAGGTGTACCCTTGTGGTAGAAGCCAGAAAGTTGGAACATCATTACCCTCAAAAGGCACTATTCAGCCTCAGCGCCCAAACACCCTTCTACTACTTCAATGCATTCCTCGAAATATCCCGTTCTGTCCCTGTTTCAATGGGTACCTTGTATGTATCCCTAGAAACACCCTCAACCTTGACTCAACCCCTGCACTCCTAACCCTACTTAGAGGATCATGGGACTTAGTAAGTAGGTTATAATTGGGGTTATAAGTCCCCGAAGTGGGGGTATCCTAAATATAACCTAGTCACAACCTGCATTACTAGCTAAGTCCCTTGAGCCTTTAATCCAAGGGTAAAAGAAGGGACCCTTAATAGGGACCTATCATATACCCATTATATAGCCCATTATAGGTTAGGGGTCCCCATTAAGGGTTCCTCCTTTTCCCCTTTGATTTAAGTAGACCCCTGAACCCCCCGCACCCCACAAGCTCCTCAACGCCTAAACCCAAACTAGGACGCCCAGTAGTACCCTTCTTCCCTTTTTGTAGTCCTAGGTTCCTTATAAAGTTACCCAATACCAAAAAGGGAGCCGTTTTTATTCCGGGGCTACTGGGCATCCCAGCAAATCAAACCCGCACCGAAAGCCCTACACTCCGAATTATGCAGGTAGTCGCTTCATCCTCTTAGCTGAGTAGGTAACCTTTAATCTTTTGGAGTATATAATCCTACCATAAATTGCAAGGGTTAACCTTTTTTGGGCTAGGTTACTCCCTAAACTCTAACCCCTAAATCCTAAACCCTACCTTAAACTACCAAACCCTACTTTTTTGTAGGTTCTTATTATAAACCCAAAAATGGAATTTATAGGGATCCTACAAAAAAGTAGGTTTTGGTAGGTTAAGGTATATCCTAAACCCTAAACCCTGGCCCTGACCCCTTTTTGGGCTACGTAGGTTACTGCCCCTACGAAGCGCACCAACCACAGGCCTCTGCGAACCGCTACTGCGGCGTTTCTTGGTCTGCTTTTTGGGGGTACATGGGAGTTTCCCAAATTTAGGGGTACCCTATTAGTTCCATTGGAACCTGTTCGTAAAATCTTGTTTTTTCGCAAGAGGAGGTGACCAGATACGGGCAATGGAAGAAACAGAAGAAGAGCGCTGAAACGTGCTCGACAGTTCGTTCTGGCGGCATCAGGAGGGGGTGTTGTTCGAGTTGTTTGCACTCTAGGCGTCCGGTGGCCGACATTCTGCTGCACCGGCATGGTCATGACTGTCGTCTAGGTTTGCTCGAGCATGCAAGTCGGGGTGACGGAGTCTTTCCCAACTTCTTAGAAAAGCCCTCACTCACTGGTCCTTGATTGAACATCCGAACTTGTTGATGAAAATTTTGGAGTCTGTGGGCTACACCCTGAGCTCCTGCACGTTGAGCCAAAGCCCTGCACCCCAAACCCAAAACATTAAGCTCGCAATGTTTCGGTTGCAGCTTGTGCCTCAGGCTTCTTTGTTTGCCGGGGCTGTGGCTGCCATCTCCTGCATCCCAAGCAGTGTCGAAGCTGCAAGTGGGGGTTTGGAAGATAGGACTTGCCGCCTAATCAAGGTGCGCGATTTAATTTGTTAATATAGGGGCCGAAAATGATTCACAATACTATTTCGGGGGTTCCTCTATTATAGTCATAGTAAAACATGCCCAAAACCCTATACCAATTATTAAGGCCCCTATATTACAGAACCCTAATTACTGTAGATCCCTTATAGACCCCTTTAAAGGAGCCCTTTAAAGGAACCGCTATTCAAATATTAAATGCCCTCATATGGCGGTTTAACGAGTTCTGCGGCAGCTGTTGATCTTCCTGAGGTGGATTTCCTAGTTCCTCATTGTACGGCTGGTTACCTACTCAGCCCCTCTAAAGGAACCCTAAGCCTTTTTAAGGGAGCCCTAAGCCCTACGGCTGATGATGTAAATCCTGCATGACCTTGATGGCCCTTGGCTATGGGAATTACGGTATTTTCCTTATTCTGGATAATGCTGGGTTTATATTATCAATCGTAGTACCTTGGTTGCGTATTCTTGGGGGCTGCGTAGGTAACCTGTTCTTTCGGGGCTTATATAACCCTACTATAATTCAAAAGGTTAGCCTTGTGACTCAGCCTCTAAGTATTCGATGTTGTACTCGACCGACAGTTCCCACAGAAAGGTCCCAACAAACAAACGAAACGTTTAAATCCTGATTTTGTGTATTCTGCAGCAGGCGGCTTTGCCTGGAATCCACATCGTTTGAAAGACCCCATACGAGTAACAGGTAGTAGCAATAGCATCGTAGACGTAAAAATCGCAGGAGGCGTCGTCGCTGCAGTTTGGCCGAGTAGTGTCGGTGTTTACCCGTTCTCACTCCCTTCACTAGGCGACTAGGACCCAGAGTAGGCCCTTATTCCCTTTTTTGAGGGTTCAGGTTCCCTTATAAACCCCTTTAAACCAAAAAGGGCACCCTTTTTATTCCTAGGTTACTCTGAGGTCTAGGCGATGTGTCGTTTTATGTTGAAATCTTTGGCTCGGAGGCCCCCTGACGCCCAACTCATGCCATCACTCCCTGACACCGAACTAGGATGCCCAGTAGTACCCTTATTCCCTTTTTGTAGCCCTAGGTTCCTTATAAAGTTACCCAATACCAAAAAGAGAGGCCTTTTTATTCTTAGGATACTGGGTATCCTAGCCAAAATGGTTGCCATCTCAGGCTAGCCACACGCATGGCGTCCAGCGGAGTTTTCGAAGACGGGCCGGCGCTCGTCCTGTCTCACTCAGGCAGACTTGTAATCGTTGATCCGTTTCCTGTTTGCCCTCTCGGTATATCTGACAACCCAGCCATATGTTGATTTAGTATGTCTTGTCTATCTCTCGCTATACCTACCCGTCTAGTATTGCATATGCAAGTCCGTGTACGTGTCTTCCTTATTCATCGTGTACAGTACCGATGCAAACTTAAGTTTTCCCCCCCTTCTTCTTTGAGTTTGGTTTGTCTATGTACTTGCTCTTCGCGCGCGATCTGCGTACTTCCTGTCCGTCTTTCGATCTCTCTGTCACTGCTGCCTTGTATTTGCTTTGCCTATCTGTGTGCATGCAGCATGATACGAACCAGATAGTCAATGTTTTTGCATATTCTAAAGCTTCTTCTAACGATCTTTTTCAAAGCCTGACAGCTCGATTTTGCCTGTCTTGACTGCTTGGACTGACATGGGGATCTCCTGATGCACGGCGGAAAGTTCTTCTGGAAGTAGTCTCGAGTTTGTTCAGTCAGCTCTGGGTCTATCCAGGCAGCCTCCCGGAGATTGCGGAGGTGCCCTGCGATGCTGGGGTGACCGAGCCGCCACGCCAACGCGAGGCGCACGGCAAGCAGGAAGTTCAAATCGTGTAGGGCGTATCTGCTTATCAACATAGGCCTAACCGAGTGTTGCTTCGAATCTGTATGGCTTCGGGTTTCCATTCAGATATCCGTGGCAGTAGGAGAGTTCGATCCCTAAGCCCTGAACCCTGAGGCAAGAAGGACCCCTGAAGCAGGACGAATCGTCACCTCGATACATGTACGGTGATTCGGGAGACTCTTATCATTAGGTGCAATCCCCAAACCCCATTAAACGCAACATCCGCAACATCTAGGTTGAACCCCAGCCGCTGCTGCTGTGGAGAAAGGGCCATTACCCTTCAAAAAAGCCCAGGCCTAAAATCAAAACGCCAACTCACAGGGTCCTTTCAGGGTTACTTACTATAAGGGGTATTCTGGGGGGTTTAGTATAGGAGCCCTAGTAACTACTCCCTGACCCCTAAACCCTAAACCCTAAACCCAACTCACAGCCCACAGGTTCGGCGCCTCATAAAAGCGTACTACAACAAAGCGCTGCCCCAGACTAGGCGGGCGAAGGGTAGCTGTTTTAAGGCTCTGGGTGTTTTAGGGTTTCATAGGGTTTTTAGTGTTTAGTGCGGTTTAGTAGGGTTTTAGGGTTTAGTAGGGTTTTAGGCGGTTTAGTAGGGTTTTAGGTTTTTTTGATGGTTTAGTAGGGTTTAATAAAGGGTTTTAGGGCTGGCATACGGTTTATGGCTTGGGGTGAGGGTTTAAGGGTTCAGCAGGCGGAGGGTTTAGGGTTCGGAACTTTTCGGGTTTATAGGGTTTGGGTTAAGGGCTTTGGGTTGAGGCTTGAGGGTTGAGGGTCTTGGTTGTTCGTGGCTTTGCGCTTCGTCTGCTTGGTGTTTGGGCTTCCTGTGGGTTTTGAGCTTGGGGTTTGGGCATACTGTTTTAGGGAGGTTGGATTTCGGTTTTGTGTTTTTTGGGCTACTTCTTGGGTTGCATGCAGTCTGTTTTCACCGCATGTGGCATGCATCAACACATCCTTCTGGGGATCACGAGCGCTTGCCTGACCTGAAGAACTAGAGCCCCCTTTCAATGCTGGCTTCACAAAACTATACTATACCACAGTAAGTCCCCGTACACCCCATTCTAAAGATGCTACATCTAGCATTGTTGTCCTTGCAGGACCAGGGACATAGGCCAGTTGTTTGGGCCAGCTTGTAACACAGCCTGGATCATTAACATCGTCATGATCATTGCCGTCGAAACTGCTACAATCGCCACTGCCGCGTCGCCATCTTCATGTTCACCAGCATCATCATCACCCCCACCATCATCATCGCCTACTGTAAAGACCTCCGTCGTCACGACATGATCATCAAGATCCTCGCCGTCGCCGGGGATAGCAGAACGGGACCGGAAGTGCCCTCTGCCTGCGAGGGACTTCTGGGAGTCCAAGTTGCACATGGCCAAAGTTTCTTGGCGTTCTTCTGGTTGGCTCTAAGGACTTTAACTTTTTGGGTTTCGAACTATCATAAGGAGGCTAAAAGTTTAAGTTTTAGGAGGGGCCCGGAAGTCAGCCAAGGTTTGCCATACGCATCGGCTCCACTGCAACAGCTGCTCGCTGTACCTAGGCCGGAGCTCACCATGTGTTGCATTCGCGCTTTGGAAGGAAGCTCAACCTCACCTAAAATGCCAGATGAGCCACAAAGCCTTCATCTTAAGCATCAAGTGGCAATGACACTGAGCAACCCAATTCAAAAACCTAGACCGTAGCTCTAGCTGCAACACTGCACCAGGTCGGGGGATTCCAGCACAGTAGGCGAGACTTTGAAGCTTTTCCGGCGTTTGGCGTCAAGCTTCTGTGTGAAACCTGCAGGATCTAAGCTGCAGCTGCTCCTGGACGCAGAAAACACTCTGCTTTTGACCACCATTTGCGGGCCATATCTCCAAGAGATGGACAAGGCTCGGATCTGAGATCCTAACTTAGATCCCCAATACCCAACCTTTAAGCTTTTTGGCTTCTTGTAGTTTAGTAGGAACCGGAAAGTTTAACCTTTCATTTTTGTGTCTTATTGGGGAAGTAAGCTAAACCGCCAACCCAACCCAAATTGCAGACTCCTCCGAAATAGTAGGTATTCCTACAGGACTCTCTATTATAAGTGTTGCAGACTACGCCCCGCCTAATCTGGGTATCGATTTGGGATAATGCTGAATTCCCCGTGTTGTTTAGTATAGATCCCTAGTTATGTAGGGGACTTTTGAAATCGACCCTTAGTTATGATAAAGCCCCTGTAGGACGGCCCATGCGCTGCGGATGGTATTGGCCTGATCCTGCACTGCAGCGGCGCCCTGTGCGCGGTTTAGGGGTTTTTAGGATGTTCGGACGTTTTTGGATGAGGGCTAATCCAGAAAAGAAGTGCACCCTATAAACCCTAAACCCTAGAACCCCCCAAGCCCTGACTTAAGAGTTTAGGGTTTCGGGCTCAACCCCCGACTAGTCCTTGCACTTCGGGGGGGCCCCATGATCGCTTCATTAATTGTCTTGGCTGAGTGAGTTGGAGCGTAGTTTCGCTGGGTTGGGAAGGGACAGTGGCATTGGAATTGTTAAAGCTGTATACCCAGAAACTCCAATATCTCTAAATCAAGGAATAGTCCTTTCGATCATGTTAGGGATCCTATTATAGTTTAAGGTATGTTCCTTACCTCCCGTTTAGAACCCTTATAGATCCCTTAAAGGAACCCTTTAAGGACTATTTCTTCATTAATGGATATTGGAGTCTCCGGGTATAAGGTTTGATTAGGGCGGTCAGGGGCACTCTAAACCCTTATAGAGCCCTTTAACGGAACCCTAGAAAGGAACCCTAACGTACCCCTAAATCTTCGGAAGCTCCCATAGAAGGTTTGATTAGGGCTGTCAGGGTGTTCTAAGGGGCCCGGGCTCCTTGGCTCGCTTTTTTGGGATGATGTACTTTCTGGTTGAGGGCTTAGGGATTTGGGTTTAGGGTTCAGGGTTTAGGGCTTAGGCCTTATGGTTCAGGGTTTAGGGTTTAGGGTTTAGGGAGGGACGCACCAGGAAAACCCTGCAAAGCACCGCCTCACCGTTGAAAAAGGCTTGAGACCTGTTTGCTTGAATCTTCATAAACCTTCCGGTTTAGGGTTAATGTTTACGGTTCAGGGTTTGGGGGTTCCTCGTTTGGGGTTTGGGATTGGGTTTAGGAGTGTGGAGCTTAGGGTTTGTCGTTTCGGCTTCTGTGCACTAAGCCTTCGGTTCCTGTGCCTTGTTCCTGAGGTGCCAGACGGCAGAAGGGGCGCATCCCGTCTCCGTGCGGGCAGGCTCGCTATAGCTTATGGCACAGTATGAACGGAGCTATAGAGCAATTGTAGGAGTAGTTATAGTGTTTGTCACAGTGAGTGTAGCAATCATAGCAGTAACAGTAGTTATATAATGCAGTAATTAAGTATAACAGTTGTGTAATTACGGAGTGGCAGAGAAGCGCGTCGTTTCATGCGAGGCCCTTTGTTCGGCGGACTCCGTTCTGTCCCGCCACCACTGTTGGCGACCTCCAGGCACTTGACTGTGCCGTCTCAATCTGCGGCTTCAATACATGGAATAGGGTTCCTTTGACTTAGGGGCTGAGTAGGTAACCTTTAACCTTTTGGGGCTTGTATAAAAAAGGTTAACCTTTTTGGGGCTGGCGTGCTCAGCCACTAAGTTAAGAGTGCTGCTGAGGGTTCTATAGGGAACCTGTACAGAGTTCCGTACAGGTTTCTCATCACGCTGCTGCAACGGATTCAGGGGTCAGGGGCTTTGCTACTTAGAACAGGGTTACATCGGGTATAGTATGGCATACTTGTGTTGGGACTCTAAGCGCATGCTGTTGTTGACAGGCCCGTTCGCTTGAGCCCCTTACCTCCATTAAATTCTACAACTCTTTCTATCGGATAGAAGCCCTAAACCCTAAACCCCTAAAACCCTAAACCCAAAGCCCCTCAACCCTAAACCCTAAAGCAAGTGTTCGTTTAAAATAGCTCCCTGGCAGCTCCGGTCTCGAAAACCTTTGGAGCACTTCACGGATTCATCGCTTAAGCTTAGGGTTTAGGGTTTAGGGCTTGTCAGAGTGCTCCGCAGCTCATGCGGTGTCCCTTTACTTTCAGAATGCAGGGGAGGGCAGCATTTTATTGCGAGGATTGTCGCAGCCTCTGATGAAATCTCTTGATGCTAAGCCCCGATGACACTGTAATTTGAAAACGCGCGATGCAAAAGAAAGGAAAATGAAGCCAGAGTCTAAACCCTGAACCTTGTAGATCCCTCTAAACCCTGAACCTTGTACATCCCTATAAAGCCCTATGCCCGCAAAACCCACAGGAAGCAGTGTGGAGGGGGCATGGTACATCAACGAGCTTCTCGGATATGCAGAAAACATTCCAAGCCCGGGGACCTCACCTGGGTTAAGCCTTTATAGGTGGAATTGGGTTGGCGGGATATCATAGTATAAATAGGATAGGGGATATCACTACTAATCATTCCGGCTCCTAGATGATGCAAGTACAGTTTAGATAGTTCGGATGACAGGTTTTTGGCCTTTGGTTGAGGGTGTAAGGTTTTGTTTCAGTGTTTGGGGTTTATTGAGGGTGATCAGGTTGCGGCAATGATGTCTGGTCCGGGCGTGTTGAATTTGCGAAGAACCTGGCCAAAATCCGTCAATGCTGAGATCCCATGGTGTGACCCTAGACCTGCGCAGAAAAACGACCAGCGGCCCAAAGACAAGTCAAACTCACATGTGGAAGACTCATCGTCGAAGTTCAACTTCCCGAATGTGCAACACCGAACATTTTGCTATGAGCACACGTAGTAGCAGATTCAATATGCAGTGTTGATTACTTGCGTTGTTGAGTCCAGACAGGACTTAATTGCCAAAAACATACGACAGGAAACCGGAGGCTAACAACAGTGGTGATGGCTGTTGAATCTTCCCTCCCTGCCAAGGTTCCTTCCTGGCAGCGTCGATGTTGGCCAGCCCTCGCCACGCAACCTTGCGCAGGGCAGCATGGAAACTGCCGACGTGCAGCCTGGCATGCAGTTCTTGCCATGGCAGGTTGGGACTTTTAATTCCTTATGGGAGTTTCCGAAAATTCGGAGTACCTTATTTGGGGTCCTAATAATAAGGATCCTACTATTTAAGGCACTATTTTAGGGTCCCACAATTGTCGGAAACCCCCTTATAACAGCCTATAACCCGTATACCACTTGAACCCTGAGTAAACATCTTATAACCCTTCTAACCCTTCAACTTAAACCCTTAAACCCTAGACCTTTAAAGCTTGAGCCCTAAGAGCCTAAGCGTGGCTGGGCTTCGAAGTCGGGCTTGCGAGTTTCACACCTGCCCAGACCCCCGGGAGGATCTAGAAAGTAGATCCCCTAAGTTGGGGCTTAGTAGGGTTCCTTAAAGGGATCCTTTAGGGCTTAGGGTTTAGGGATCTAGAAGGGAAAGTAGATCCCCTAAGTTGGGGCCCTATACTACTAAGGGTAGTTTATAGGAACCCCCATTAAGGGATCTACTTTTTGGATCCTCCCGGGGGTCTGGGTGGGGATCCAAGGTTTGTAGTGTTCGGTAGAGTAGACCCAGAGAGATACTCCTTCATTAAGAAATATGGGTGGTTGTCGAAATTATGATCCTTTTTTGGGTACCCTAAATATTAGGTGCCGTACTATATTAGGGACCCCAAAAGGTACCATAATTTTGACAACCACCCATATACCTTGAACTATGAGGTGCTTAGTGTTTGGTGTAAGGTATATTCCTTCATTACTAAGGGGTATCGGGCAGTCTGGGTAGTGTAGATCCCTGATTAACAACCTCCAGGACGCAAGGAGTATGAAAATTACTTAAGAGCTCATGTGGCTTAGTAAGTAAGGTCAGAAGTAAGGTCATACGGTCATTACCAGGATAGCCCTACTTAGGGCACTTATATCCCAAGTTGAACCCAACATACCAAAGTCCCCTGAGCCATTAAGTACGAAGAAGTCGTGGATGGTCTCGCGGCACATCGGCTGATTGGGATAAGACCGTGCCAGTCCTGCTAGCAGTTCTACCGCAAGGACATGCCGGGCGTGCGGCGGGTACGTCGGCTGGAAGTTTGCGAAGGACGGAACCCTGAACCTTAAACACAAACCCTGAACCCTCAAACCCGACCACCCCGAACTCCAAAGCCTACTTGCAGGGTTTAGATTACTCTGTATCTCAGGGCAGCGGCTGTCCCAAATACCCCAGAAGCTAGGCACGGCTGTTTGGCCACGGTCCCTTTGCAGGTAGTGGGTTGGGTCCCAAGCAGCACAGCAAACCTGTAATGGATGTTGGGCAAATCCCCACATGCATGCTCAATTTCCGCCGACTTGATGTAAAGCCGTCAACCACGGCCGTCAATCCTAAGCCTTAGACCCTAAATCCTAAGGTCTTGAATTTAGGGTGTAGCTTGCAGTTTGGGGCGCAGGAGTTGTAGTTCAGGTTTAGGGCTTTGGGCGACGTAAGGAGAGCGCTAGTGGTAAGATGGCATACAAATGATCATCAGCCAGCGGCCGCGGTTGATGTCGCCCTGAACCTCAGACCTAAGCTTTAAAACGAAATCCCGAATCTCTCAAACCCTAAACCCTGAACCCTGAACCCTGAACCTCAGACCTAAACTTTAAAGCGACATCCCGAATCTCTCAACACCTGAAGCCCTTACCCGACACCCGAATCTTCAGCCTCAGCTCCAAATCCGAAAACTCGGATACTACAAGGGCCTTAATAATTACCTAGACTATTTTGAGGGCCCCTTGCAATAGTATAATATGCCCCAAAACTCCATTCTAATTGTGAAGGCCCCTATGTTATAGACCTTCTAGACCCCTTTAACGAGCCCTTTAAAGGAGCCAAGCCCCTATATTAGACGTCCTTCCCTCGTCCAGGATCTGGAGGGCAGCCGAAACGTGCATCAGGTAGGACGGTTCGGCCTTTGCTGCTCCTCCATTCAGGTGGCTTAGCAGGTGATCACGACGAGTCCGATGTTCACAGAGATGGTAAAGGCGATGCCACTGATGATGATAATGATGATGATGATGATCATGATCATGACGTTCGTGATGGTGCTGATGATGATGGTGATGGTGATGGTGATGGTGATGGTGATGGTGATGATGATGGTGATGGTGATGGTGATGGTGATGGTGATGGTGATGGTGATGGTGATGGCGATGGCGATGGCGATGGTGATGGTGATGGTGATGGTGATGGTGGTAGTGATGTTGCCGATGATCATGAATATGATGATGCTAGGGATGGTGATGGTCATGGTGATGTGGCTGATGATGATGATGATGATGCTGATGATGATGGTTATGGCGGTGTTGAAGGTGATGGTTATGAGGGTGATGGTGAGGAGCAAGAAGACGGTGATGATGAAGATGATGATGATTATAATGATTATGATGATGGTAAATGTTGATACTGATGATAAGGAAGAAGGACATGGTCATGATGATGATGATGACGTTGATGATGATGATGATGATGATGGTGGTGATGATGATGATGACCATGGTGATGACTTTTGAATGGCGATGATCGTCATGTTGCTGGTGATGGTCATGAAGATATGGCTTTTAGAGCTTTCGGCCTAGGTTTGCAAATCCCAAGCTACCTGAGACCAAGGAGCACTAAGCTTCCATGGCCCCGCTCAACGTCACTGCCTAATGCTTTGGTATCCTCAACACTCAGCCCCTGACCTACAGCTTAAACCCTGACGCCTCAACCGTGAAAGCCTGTAGACGTCAACCCCTCGATGTGTTCCCAAATAGCCCGAAACCCCTCAACTAATAAACATATAGCTTAAATCTCATTTCAGGTGCGACTATTCCTGAAGTCAAGGGTATTGGGCTCGCTGTGTCGTTCGGCTGGCATCGAAGGAACTCACGGAGGCCCGCCAAGGGCAGAAGGTGCGCGGTGAGGGTGAGGCGAGGCAAGTCGCCTTGAGAATTGAGGGTTTAGGGTTTAGGGTTGCGGGTTTAGGGTTGAGGATTTAGGGTTTAGGGTTAAGGGTTGAGGATTTCTGCAATCGGGCATGCGGACTGTCACGAAGCGAAACACTTGGCCACTAAAGGATTTAGGGTTTGGGCCGGTTCAGAGCCTGAGGTGTTCAGATTTCCGTGTGAAGGTCTAAACTAGCGCCTAAAAGCCCAGCCTTAAGCACTTAACCAGTGAAATGCTAGCGCACCGACCGCCTAAAACCTGAGAACGTGAACACCATAAGCCTTAACTCTTAAACAGTAACGAGACCCCGCTTTCTTGGTTGATCCTGGCTTCATTGAGGTTTCGACGAGAAAACTCTCAGATGAGGTTACGGACTGCAGACCTTTGCAGAACTACTGTGTGCATTGGCATTCACTTTTTGCTGAGGTGCCGCAGAACCCAAAAAAGATTCGTTGATTCCCGGAGCGTCCCGCCATTCCTTCCTAGCCTCCACGTTGTTTCACCGCGACGCCTGGGTTCGAACCCCATGTCCCTCCGACAGTAGAAACCCAAACCCGCAAGGAAAGCTACGACAGCGACTCAGCCACATCTGCAGCCACAAGCTCGCTGCAGCTTGGCAGCAACAGGTCAGGTTCTTGGACGTGTCGTGGAAGACCGGGTCTATGCATTTTTCCGAACTGGACTCAGACCGTCACACGATTGTACAAGCTTGATGGTTCAGGGTTAGTTTCGAAGCTCGCATTCGCTTCTTCGATTCGCACACTCTTCCGAGCGCACAGGGCTGATGCTAGAGCTACTGAGTAACTTATAAGGAGGTGAATGCAATCCCCCGAAGTTTAAAACCCGAACAACCACGCGCTTTCAGAGTTTTGAGGTTTCAGGTCTGGCCCTTGTTAGAACCTTTATCGGAGCCCGTAAAAAAGGAACCTTGACGAAACCGTTATGGGAACTTTATGGGAAACCGAACAGGTTCCCTCCATCCCTGAACCCTAAACCCCTAATCTCTAAACCCTAAACCCTTCAGGTCGGAGAGGCCGCCGCCGGATCCTGATGATGCTGACGAAGTTCCGTCGCAGTCAAATGCTGCTGCTGAGACTCCGACGGAACAGCCATCAACCCGGCTCTAGAAAAGGGGCCTTGACAAATAGGTTCAGGTTTTGTGGCATGTAGGCACACAAATATGCATATAGATAACATGTAATTACGTAAATCCACACATGAACAAATACAGGAGTAAGTTAATAACAATTGTCCACTTGTTCATTTATCTATCTGTCTGCGCGACTTCAACTCTTAAGAGGTTGCCACATGTATGTTTAATAAGGTATCGGATAGTAGTGCCAAGAGGGATGTTCACCAGGAGTTTCAATCTTTAAGGGTTGAGGCTGTCTAAGCTTACGCATACGGATGAAACTCCAGCACCCAGGGAGCCCAATAAGCCTTAATTGCGGAATATAGCTTAAATCATAACATGAAGCCTTGATAATTTAAGGCATATTCCTTAATTGAGGAGTTTTGGGCTCTCTGGGCATGCATGCCGGTCCTTTTCAAGCCTGGGCTGGTCAATAGTCCCTGGATGTCCGGCGTCCGCATCTTTGAAGCGGACAGCCGAGAGTTGCCTTTTGGTGTCTTGAAGCGGCATGCCGAAATCTCGGAGTCAAAAGGATCCAGCCATGGTTTATTCTTGTCTGTGGTTCGGTGCGTTTTCGTCGACTGTCAAGATAGCAGCAAATGGAAGATCACCATGATCCTACAACCACGCACTGCAGCATTGATGTCTTTTTGTGTATGGGTGATGTGGGTGAGGGTACATGAGGATACAGATGGTGAGGAAGGTGATGCTGCAGAAAAACCAATGACCTTAATGATGATGCTCACGAAACTGGGTTTTTCGACTGTTCCTTGAACAAGTAGTCTTAGTTCTATGCGGGCCTGCGGTGAAACACGAGTCAGGGATTGCCCTAAACCCTTAAAACCTAAAACCTAAACCGTGTTGCTGTCCTTCTTGAGAGCTGGCCTAGGGACGTTTGCCCTCACGAGACTGAGCCGTCGACCGAGATGATTTAGGGACCCCAAAAACCACATAAGCATAAGCATTTTATGGGGATATCCCTATCTTATTGGGCCTCATTATCAGGGGGTTTACATGGGATATCCCTGTCTTATTGGGGCCATAATGATGAGGAGGATATTGGCGACGATGAAGAAGACAAGAACCAGTTTCGCAGCGCTGTACATGTTAGCAGACCACTCGTGTAAACCAGCAAACTATTATGCAATAGACTTGATGCAGTCGTACCATTTCTTTCTGAAGGTCATGTGGGCTTGATAAGTTTCTAACAAGGCCCATTAAAGGAAGTATAGCATGCCGCTACTCCCTACCCCCCTAAGGGTCCCTATGAGTTGGAGGATGCTTCGAACGTTTAATGCGGGAGGAATCCAGGAGCTACAGAAACGTCAATGTACTTTACTTGACGTCAATGTACTTTGCTTGAAGGGTCACTTACCAGGGGTTCCTGCAAAACATTAGACAAGGAGTCTTCATAAACCCTAACCCTAAAACCTAAACCCTAAGCCTTAAAGCCAAACCCTGAACCTTGAAGGCTTCTTTTTCGTGTTCCGTTAAGGGCTCCTCTACGGGCCGCTGCAAGGAACTATAGATAGAATCCATCATAAGGAACACCAAAAGGGCAGGTGTTTCGGCTACAGGTAGGGTTTAGAGTTAAAGGTTTCTTGATTAGCTTAGCAGCAGAGTCATATGTTCACAGGGTCCTAAAGCCTAAACCCCAAGTCCTTCTGAATGTCGTTTGCACTGTGGCGTCTGCCTGTTGAAAGCATGTTGTCTTCCAAGACGACGAGGGCGAAAATCTTGGAGAACCCCTGGGCTCTAAACCCAAAACCCAAACCTCTATGTACCCTCAGCCCTGGGTTCGGAGTACCAAATGTTCATGGTGTTTTTGCTTGGAGCTGTCCCATAGAGGAACCATTATGAGATGAAGGTTGTTGCTCTTCTCGTGGCTAGTTCAATGCCTAGAAGCCTTCAGCCCTATCGTTAAGGAGTTTAGGTTTTGCGACAACCTTACCCAGGCGCGCCCCTAAATCCTAAAGCCCGAACTTAAGAGCTTTTGCAACCCTACAAAGAAACCCCATCAGGTCCACACTATCAAGGCCGGATAAGCCTTGATAGCATGCTCGAGAGCTAAACCCTAAGCCCTAAGCCTTACCTTTGGTTAGTAGGGAGTGGAGGAATGGGGTACAAGTATAACTACTATTACTACCATTCTTCCATTCCCTACTTACCAAAGGTAAGAAGCCCTAAACCCTGAACCCTAAACCCTAAAGCCCTAGACCCTGAACCCTAAAGCCCTAAACCCTAAACCCTGAACACAAAGGTACATGAGCTCCTTTGACGATGTCGGGCAGGTGATCATGGGATGCAAGGTCGCCAGATCGACTTAAAGAGTCTAGGGATGCAAGGCTTGGGGTTTAGGATTAAGGGTTCCTTTGAAGGGTCTATATGGTTTATAGGGTTTAGGGGTTTAGGGATTTAAAGAGTTTAGGGATGCAAGGCTTGGGGTTTAGGGCTTTAGGGGTTTCTAGAGTTCCTTTAAGACTTTTAGGATTCCTTTAAGGGATCTATAGGGTTTATTGGATTTAGGGTTGAGGGGCTAAGGGTTCCTTTGAGGGATCTAAAGGGTTTATAGGGTTCAGGGGTTTAGAACTGAGGGGTTTAAAGTTTGGGGGGGGGGTTAGGGTTCAGGGATTGAGAGTTTCTACTGTAGTGGGGGCTTTCGGAGTTCACTTGGGACGAAGGTTCAGGGTCTCCCCTGAGTCAATTTTCTGGGTTCTGGGGTACCATACTTGAATGCTTTGTGGTACCTGTTCCTTAAACGAACCCACATAAAACACCCAGAGTCTCAGAGAGCCCACGACTCCTTAATTAATTAAGGAATATGCCTTGCATTGTAATGGCCTTCGTATTATGGTTTGAGCTATATTCCTTAATTAAGGCGTATTGGGCGAGAAGTCTATACTGTTTCCTCCGTGGCTGCTCTAAAGCCCAGTTTCCTACTTGCAAGGACTCAGACCTAGTTGCATGTCGGGTTCGCCAAACGGGGATTGCTGCGTTGGTGGTGCACAGCCACAAAAACCAGACAAAACTATTGAACCTGGTCTTGAGTCAGTCAGAATTGCGCACTATGACTAACAGTCCAAAGCCCTGACAACCCAAAGTCTACCGCCATACTTCTACCAAACCCTCAAGAAAACAAAAACCGCACTAGAATAACAATAACTACCATAATGAGCATTGTTATTATTAAGTTTCCGACTGCCCTAAACCCTAAACCCTTAACCCTTAACCCTAAACCCTAAACCCTAGTGCAAACACCAGTTAAAGAGGCTGAAGAAGTTGGGCGCCGTTGGGATCGCCGTGAGCCGCAATCCCCAGATTTGGCCATTTAAGTCGTGTCTTATATATAGGGGCCTTCATAATTAGAATAGGGGTTCCTTGAAAGGGTCCGTGTTGAGGGCTTGGTTTAGGGTTCAGGGTTTTAAGATTTAGGTGAAAGGTTTCCTAGTCTTTTCTGAGGCCTGCATGGAGTTTTGTCAGTGTTTCTGGCTTTCATAGTGGTGCACAACGGTTTTCGTAGGGGTTTGCAAGGCTTTCTGGGCTTTGTCAGGGTTTCCCAAGGTTTTATGTCTTGTAAACCGCCGCTGTACGAAGTTACTTGCCGGTTGTCTTGGGGGCAGAAAAATAGCATGAAATAATCTTCAGATTGCATTCAGTGATCCTGAACAGGGGGTCTTATTTACTGGATGTTGATTAGGGTTTAGGGTTTAAGGTTCACGTCTGTGGAAAGTCCTGCTTGGAAGCTCGAGCTTAACTGTAGCCTAAGCAGTGAGTACACGGAACCCAAGCACGGGTCCACTTAACAAAGGCATAAGAAAGGGGCCTAAATCTTTAATCGTTACCAATTCTATTCCTTAGAGGTCCTTATTCTAGTATAGCATAGAATACCCCGGAACCCCAATCTAATTATTGAGGCCCCTGCATTAGCTTGCAGTCCTAGTTTGGTGACACGCACCCTGATCCTCCAAGCCTTTTGCATACGCAACTCTAAACCCCAAAAACCCAAAACCTAAACCCTAAACACCAACCCCTAAGCCCCTAAAACCTACGGAATCAAAGAGGGGTGCAGAAGCTGTGACGGGTCTGCATGAGTCGCACTGCCTAGAAACCTCTAGCTTGGCAGCATCTAAGCGTGAAATGCGACAGGTTAAGGCTCAGGGTGTAGGAAACCCTAAACCCTAAAACCTGTGCCGGAACTTGGTGAAGTGAGTGAAGGGTCCTCTTCTAGTGCAGACCATTTTCTGGTCGAGACTTTGCCTGCTTCGCGGAGAAAGCCCCACTGCATTTACAAAAAGAACCTAGGCTCAGGGAAACCCGCATACACTGAGCTCCGAACACGAATCCCCGAGCCGTTCAATGCGTTGTTCTACCGCTGCCGCCAAGGGAAGACAGCGTCCAAAGAGAGTCGGGGTCCCCGGAGGGCGGCAGGGTGCTCTGCTTATGCGTTCCATAAGTATAAAAGGCCAACCCGAAGATCTTTATAAGCAGCCGAGGACTCGGACATGGCTGGGAGTTCGGAGGGGCGGGGTGATATTGAGGCCTGAATAAACGACCTGATTTCTTCTTCATATGAACTGTATGATTCCTTGGTAGTTACTATCATTATGCCTTCGTGCATTGTGCGTTATGCAGTGCTTTGAGCATGGGATGAGCTGTCGGGTTTGCCAGTTTAAGGCTCAAGGCTCATATGGCTTAGGGTTTAGGGTTATAGGGTTTGGGGCATTTTAGGGTTTAGGACTTTGAGCTTCGAGCTCCACGGGGTTAACGCAGGAATTCGCAGAGCCCCTGCAGAAAACTAAGGTAACACCGCCCAAAACTAAGCTTTGGAGTACCATACTTTAACACTTTTTTTCTTAATGGAACCCTTATGAAATAAAAGTTTACACTTTTTTCTCCCTGGTTACTTCAAAGCCCAGAAAAGGATCAAAGAGGTAAGCAACAGCAATAGTACAGGATCCTCATCAGTTGCCAATACTACGGTTGATGATATAAATCCTGCATTACCTTAAGGACCCTAAACTATGGGAATTATGGTATATTCCTTATTATGGGTAGTGCAGGATTTATATCATCAACAGTATTCCCTCAGGATTCCGTATTATCCGCTTCAGTATGTTTTGGTATAGCATACCGACCAGCATGTTACGTTAAGCCGGGGTTAGGGTCATATTCTGAGCATGTCTATTCTATCTGTTTTTCCAGAGTTTCCGCAGTGGTTTCCGGTTTGGAGCTTGAGGTGTTTAGGATGTCCTTAAGGGGGGGTGGTCCAAGGGGGGTAGGTAACCTAGTAATCCCCATTATTCCCCAATACTCCCTAAGCTTCCCTAAGGTTCCCCACAGCTCCCTAGTACCCTCCCCCCTTGAACCACCCCCCCTTAAGGATCCTATAAGGTATGGGGATTGGGGATGAGCGTGAAGGGCTTGGAACTGCCACCACTGCTGCTGCTCTGCTGCAGGTGCTGCTGCAATCACCTCCAGAGTGATGAAAGCACAGCAATACGGGGGCTTAGATAATTACCAATACTATTTTGGGGGTTCCTCAGCACATTTACAGTAGAAAGTACAACAAAACAGTCTTCTAACTATAAGGCCCCTATGTTGGCATTTTTTTGCAGGACGAGCTGTGCAAACCCCTAAACCCTAAGCCCTAAGCTTTGCTGGGAGGCTAGACCGCCTTTTCAATGCTGGGCTGCACAAGCGATGGAGGCGCCTGTGACAAAAACGAGTAAAGAGAGAGCCCCATGAGCCCAACTTCAAACACGTCTTAATGCCTCTGCCACCACTTCTCGATACCCAGAGACTCCAATACCCCGTAAATCATAGTAGGATCCCTTATGTGATTTAAGGCATATTCCCTAGTTAAGGGATATTGGGGTCTCTGGATTTTATCAGGGAGCACCATCCGTCGGCCAAGGCCTTAACAAACCCTTCTTTGCCTTCTTTGGTTAGAGTGTCACTGTCGACCAGCAACTTCGGAAGCTTTCTGTGCTGCTTAAACGACACGGCTGCCTTCAGAAGGGTTAGACTAGACCATCGAGCATCTACCGCTCTTGACACATTTCGCATGCACCCTAAACCCTTAAAACCCTAAACCCTACAACCCTAAGCCTTAAACCGCATGGAGACTGCTGGGGCCTCTTGAAGCTTCCTGTGACAAGCAGTTGCTCAAAGGGACCGACAAATTCATATGGGTAGTTGTCAAAATTATGGTCCCCTTTTGGGCCTTTGGGTACCCTAAATATAAGGTGCCGTATTATAATAGGGACCCAAAGAGGGACCCTAATTTTGACAACCACCCATATAACCACCAACCCCTAAATTCCAAAACCCTAAACCCTAAACCCCCAAACCCCTTAAAGTAGAAGCCAGAAAGTTGGAATATCATTATCGTAACCCCTTTAAGGTAAATTATAGGGGATCCCACCATTAATCCATATTCCAACTTTCTGAAGTTCCCTTTAAAGTAGTTCAAAACCCCCTTAAAGACCCTAAACCCTAAACTCCTAAACCCTAAACCCCCAAACCCCCCCTAAAGTAGTTCAACCATCAAAGCCTTGAGCCGAAACTCCTCACAGAAGTCAGACACGGCTCTGCCAGGATCCGCGTGAAGTCCAGGAAAGAGTTCTGGAACGACGAGGCCCCTTGAGGTCTGTAAGGGTTTAGGGTTTAGGGGTTCAGGGGTTTAGGGGTTTAGGGTTTAGGGGTTTAGGGTTTAGGGGTTCAGGGGTTTAGGGGTTTAGGGTTTTAGGGTTTAGGGGTTCAGGGGTTTAGGGGTTTAGGGTTTAGGGGTTAGGGTTTAGGGTTTAGGGGTTTAGGGTTTAGGAGTTTAGTGTTTTAGGGTTTAGGGGTTTAGGGGTTAGGGGTTTAGGGTTTAGGGTTTAGGGGTTTAGGGTTTAGGGTTTAGGGTTTAGGGTTTAGGGTTTAGGGGTTTAGGGTTTAGGGGTTTAGGGGTTTAGGGTTTAGGGGTTCAGGGGTTTCGGGGTTTAGGGGTTCAGGGGTTTAGGGGTTTAGGGTTTAGGAGTTTAGTGTTTTAGGGTTTAGGGGTTCAGGGGTTTAGGGGTTTAGGGTTTAGGGGTTAGGGTTGAGGGTTTAGGGGTTTAGGGTTTAGGTTTTTTGCGAAGGTAGCACAACACAGTATGATGGTGGTTATTTTGGAGGCTCTCCATATTCATTCACAACGCTTTGCCTACATACCATAGATATAGCTCGTTCTTAGCTTTGTAACATGGTAGTCCTGTTGGGCGTATCAGTCAGTTGCATCCCACAGCATACTACGGCTACTACGAGTGACGTACAGAATGGTGGCAACCCTAAATCCTAAACCGAAAACTGTTGTAGACTCTTCTGCATCTTGCTAATGCATCGGGCTCGATGCTCTGATTTCCCCGCCCTTCTCATGCAGAAGCGAAAGAAATGAAGGAGCTACACTTTCGTGATAGGTGCCAAGCTAACTGCTTGAGAAAGCTTTCGGATAAATATCACAAGGACTGCGAATCACTTGTTATGTGACTCTTTCAGGCTTGCAGTGAAAGAGAGACTCCAAGATCATAAACCCCTTAAGCCCCTACATCCTGAAGCCTTAGGCCTTCCGCCAGAAGTTGAGGTATCCTGTGAGAGTCTTGAGTCTTTCTGGGTAGGGTTTGGGGTTTAGCGTTTAGGGTTTAGGGTTTCTGACCCTAAACCCTAAACCCCAGACCTTACCCGAGGCGTTGTTCAAACCTAGACCCCGCACGCCAACGGTGCACTAGTTTCTTTTGTGACACAGGACTACGACAGAATACACCAAAACTTTGTTCTAGTTGGCAAGGCCCCTAGCATACGTCCGAGGCGCAATTTCCTAAAACCGAAACACTAAAGCCAACCCCTGAGCGAGGATCCAAGATCCTAAAGCCTAAAAATACATCAAGCTGAAAGCCCTACAACACACACACACACACACACCCGAACCGGGAACCCTAGAATAAACCTCTAAAACCTAAAGCCCGACAAGAACCTCTAAAACCTAAAAGCCCCCCAACCCAAACTCTAACCCCTAAACCGCAGTCCAAAATGTCCGCGCATTACCCTAAACCCTAAACCCTATTCTAGTTATTAAGGCTCTGATATTAGGGTAAACCCTAAACCCTTGAGGAGAAGCTGAAGTTCACGGCGATAGAGATGACGCCCATCGACCTCCTCCAGGCCGGGAGCCTAGAGACTCCAATAGTCCTTAATTAAGGAATATACCTTAAATCATAGTAGGGATCCCTAATATGATTTAAGGTATATTCCTTTGTTAAGGGATATTGGAGTCTCTGCGAAGTTGTGGGTTTATCAAGGTTCCGGGTTTCAGGGTTTGGAGCTTTGGGTTTAGGGTTTTGAGTTTTGCGTTTAGGAGTTTTAGGTTTTAAGGTTTCAGGGTTTAGAGCTCTGGGTATAAGGTTTCAGGGTTTGCAGTTTTGCCTTTGGGGTTTAGAGTTCAGGATTTAGGACTTCAGGGGGTTTAAGGGTTTCAGGCTTCTAGGGTTTCAGGCTTCCAGGGTTTGGGGTTTCAGGGTTTCAGAAATTTCATACGGTTGATGATAGAAATCCTGCATTACCTTAAGTACCCTAAACTATGGGAAATATGGTATATTCCTTATTATGGGTCATGCAGGATTTATATCATCAACCGTAGTTTCAGGGGTTTCCAAGGTTCAGGGTCCAAGACGAAAGGCCCAGAGGTTTTATCGGTTACTAGGGATTTGAAGGCCGGGCTTTTGGCCGACAGATTGTAAGGAATATAGTAAAGAACCCACAAAAAAATATATGTATATATATATATATATATATATATAAACAGGGCTCGAATGGCCGCAGCAGCGCGGAACTATCGGTAGCCCCAGTGCCCATGGAAGGCACGCCTTCGCCTGGTGCCGCGCTTGCGAGGCGGCATGCAGATCTTAACAAGACCCTGACAGGCAAGACGATTACGTTGGACGTTGAGGCCAGTGGCACGTTCGACAAAGTCAAGGCGAAGTCCCAAAATAAGGCAGGCATCCCGCCCGACCAGCAGCACCTGATCTTTGCTGGCAGGCAGTTTGAGGGCGGCCGTACTCTTTCGGATTACAACCTGCAGAAGGAATCGACCCTTCACTTGGCGCCGCACTTGCGAGGCGGCATGCAGATCTTTGTCAAGATCCTGACGCTCACCTTGGACGTTGAGGCCAGTGGCACGTTCGACAAAGTCAAGGCGAAGTCCCAAAATAAGGCAGGCATCCCGCCCGACCAGCAGCACCTGATCTTTGCTGGCAGGCAGTTTGAGGGCGGCCGTACTCTTTCGATTACAACCTGCAGAAGGAATCGACCCTTCACTTGGCGCCGCACTTGCGAGGCGGCATGCAGATCTTTGTCAAGATCCTGACGCTCACCTTGGACGTTGAGGCCAGTGGCACGTTCGACAAAGTCAAGGCGAAGTCCCAAAGTAAGGCAGGCATCCCGCCCGACCAGCAGCACCTGATCTTTGCTAGCAGGCAGTTTGATGGCGGCCGTACTCTTTCCGGTTACCTCCTGCAGAAGGAATCGTCCCCTCACTTGGCGCCGCACTTGCGAGGCGGCATGCATATCTTTGTCAAGATCCTGACGCTCACCTTGGACGTTGAGGCCAGTGGCACGTTCGACAAAGTCAAGGCGAAGTCCCAAAATAAGGCAGGCATCCCGCCCGACCAGCAGCACCTGATCTTTGCTAGCAGGCAGTTTGAGGGCGGCCGTACTCTTTCCGATTACAACCTGCAGAAGGAATCGTCCCCTCACTTGGCGCCGCACTTGCGAGGCGGCATGCAGATCTTTGTCAAGATCCTGACGCTCACCTTGGACGTTGAGGCCAGTGGCACGTTCGACAAAGTCAAGGCGAAGTCCCAAAATAAGGCAGGCATCCCGCCCGACCAGCAGCACCTGATCTTTGCTGGCAGGCAGTTTGAGGGTGGCCTTACTCTTTCGGATTGCAACCTGCAGAAGGAGTCGACCCCTCACTTGACTCCGCACATGCGAGGTGGCATGCAGACGTTTGGACAAGAAAAGACAAGGCGGCACGACAATTGTTGATTGCTGCCCTATGTCGTGCATCGTGGCCCTTGAGGCTACGTGCTGTTAGTAAGCACAGCTTTTTCTATTTAATGCTGTGAGGGGCGTACAGCTTGCAGTTTGCCTCTTTTGCCCCATGAGGAATAGGCTCAGGCTGAGGCCATTCTGTGCACGCACGGTTTGGCCATGAGTGTGTGATGTAGGTTCCTTGACTTTGAACGCACACTACCACGTCCCCAACGGGACGTTGGTAGTTGAGTTGACTTGTGCCTGCAGTTACGGCAGCAGCAGTAGCACGGTTGCTTGGTTATCCTGGTGCCTTTAAGGCCCAGGATTTGCCATTGCGTTTTGGTTGAGTTGGAGACGGCTTTTGCCTTAAATGGTGCCGGGTCAATCTCCACCTTTGTCTTATCCAGCAGCGTTGCTTGCGCTAAGGCTGGGTTTTTGCAGATTTCTGCTCCAGGTTTGAGTGGCGCGAGTTGAATACCCAGGCGCCTTCCTTCCTGAGTGCATACTGCTGGTTTGCATGTTTGTTAATTAGGCTGCGAACACCACTGAATGCTTGGAAATGCGGAAATATATATAAACCCAAGAGAAATTTCAAAAGAATTGTTTGTACTATGGTTCTAAGGGGGGGTATAGGAAAGCCCTTGAGGCCCCCGAACCTGGTAACGCCAAATCCAGGCAACCCAGAGGCCCAAAACCCAAGAAGTGAGACGGTTTATAGTGAACCCCAGAAAGTTGGAACATGGATTTAGGATGATTAGTGCTAGGATTCCCTCTGCTTTACCTTATGGTCATGAGGATACTAATGTTCCAACTTTCTGGCTTCTACTATAGGGTTTAGGGTGAGGCCCCGCAGCTCACAACTCTACTTGAAGGTTCATGGGTAGTTATAAGCGGGGCGATAAGTAGGGTAGCTAGAGTTATAACCCAAAATAGGGGACTTATTTATAATTATAGTTACTCTAGTTATAACTCCACTTATATCTGTTTGTGAACCTGCAAGTAGACCTGGGAAACAGACCCCAGACGGCCCGAAATGATGGACACATCAGGACGGCAAGCTCAAGTTCCAAGAGGCCGGAGGGTTTTACATACCCTAAACTGCCCTGAACCTTCAACCCTGCACCCCTAACCCGTAAAACCCCTCAAACACTAAACCCCTAAACGCCTAAGCCTGTAAACTCAACTGAAACCCTGTCTAAGCTTCGGGGTACAGGCTTTGAAGAGGTCCTGATAAAGAACCTTTAAGCCCTTAGGGTTTAAGGTTTTAGGTTTGAGGGTTTAGGTTTGGAGGCTTTTCAATAGCGAGAGCCTTGAGGGTTCACATTTTCAAAGGGGAAAAGGAGGGACCCTTAATCGGGACCCCTACCCTATAATGGGCTTTAACAGCTATATTAAGGGTACATACCTAGGGGTCCTTATTAAGGTTTCCTCCTTTTCCCCTTTGAGGTTTTGAGGTTCATAATGTGATTTACGGTTCAGGTTTTGAGGCTTAGGCAGGGGTTAAGGTTTTGGTTTTGAGGTGTAGTACTTAATGTTCCAATTAGGTTTTTAAGGAACATATTTTAGAAGCTGCCCCTACCCTGTAATAGTGGTATAATAGGAATATAATAGGGCCCTAATGTAATCCTGAGAGTCACTATTACAGGGTGGGGGCAGCTTCTAACAGATCCACGAAAAAGAAATGTGGAGTGTTTCAGGTTTGGGCCCGACCTCCACGACTGAAGGATCCCTTCCTGCGTAGTTGTCGTTAGGCTCTATCGGGGTTTAGGGGTTTAGGGTTTTAGGGTTTAGGGTTTCGGCTCCTGCTTCTTATGCTGACGATTTGAGGAACTGCGGCTGTGGATTTCGGAGAAGTAGTGCTCGGGAAAGCTGGGGACAAAGATCTCGTGCTTGGCTAGTTGCCGAGGTCGTGCAGCATGAATGCGGGTGGCTCTGGCGATATGGCACATTTCGTCTCCCAGCGAAGCGACGCAGGTGGTGTCACCCGCGTTGTTTTCAATCCCTTCTTTCATGTCGCAAGTACTCATGGCCTCTCCTGATGGTCCCTCTGGTTTGGCGCATGTCGCCTTGGCGATGCAACACATCAATGGCGGTGATGATGGTCCGCTCTTAATGCTAGAGCTCGTTCCGCAGGATTGGATTGATCGCCTCTTTCACCTGTAGTCCCTGTAGTTCACCTGACGTTCCTGTAGTTCCTGTCGTACTTCTTCGGTGTCTGGCCAAGTACTGGGCAACCGCGCGGCTGACAGACCCTGAGTCCGCGAGAGAGAGAGAGAGAGAGAGAGAGAGAGGGTTTAGGGTTGTTAGGCTCTATCGGGGTGTAGATGGAGTCTGGGATTAGGAGCTGAAGGATTGCAGGGTGCAGTGCTTCGGATATGGGTGTCAACACCTCGGGCTGGTTGGGATTCAGTCGGACTTGCGTCAGCCTACTCCTCTTATGGTTTAGTGTTCAAAGTTGAAGTCGATAATGCTTTAGGGTTTTTGGGTTGAGGAGTTTGCCTGCAAAAGCAATTCTTCAAAACATGCCCACCCAGGACCGTCGACGGTAAAGTCAAGTTTGGTGAGCTGGTCATGAGCAGTTTGCAGCCAAGACATTCTCATTCTGCAACGACAAATAAGATCCACGCCCTCGTAGAGACATTTAGCGGTTTCGATCCCAAAGTGGCAACAGATAGCATTGCCCTTCCAGAGCTGCGGACGGACGTACAGCACTTTGCCAGGATCTTCGAACCCTCGGGTTCAAGCAATTTTGAGGGGGCCAAGGATATTGGAGTGTTATGGCATGAGCAGTCCACCCTTCGAAAGCTTCCACATGACCGGGGTTACGGTCCCATGGTCTGATCAGCGTCCCTTCTATACATGTGTCTTTCTTCTCCTGGTGCACTCGTCATGTGATCATTTGTTGTCATAGTGGCTTATGTTCGTGAAAAGCGATAAAGCGACCTAAACCCCAAACCCTAAACCAAGAGTCTGTGACAGGTTTGTCAGTCACTGGCAGCCATGGAATCCAGGCTGGCTGGTATGGCTGGGAACAGAGTCTACTATAGTTGCCTAAATAATCACCTATGCTATTTGGGGTTCCGTATTGTAAGTATAGAGTAATGGGGCCCACAACCCTATTCTAATTACAAAAGCCCCTATATGACGGATTTACATGGAACCCCGGAAATGTGGAACATGGCTTTAGGATGTTTTCGAGCTAGGATTCCTTGTACTGTACCTATTTAAACCCTGTTATAAAACCCTATAAGTACCCTTTAGAGGAACCCGTAAAGGGAACCCTATAAGAGAACCCTATAGTCCTCCTAGGGTAGGGCCTCGGAAATGGGCGTCTGCAGCTTAAGTGCTTCAGTGTGCAAAAGCTTAAGCATTCGAGGCTCTCATAGGTGTTCGGGCATCTAGGGTTAGGGTTTAGGGTCATCTACTACAGCAGAGTATCGTGAACAGCACTAGGACATGACGACTAGAGGCTTTTGGCACAGTCAGTGACCGCTCCCTTCGTGACTTCGGATCCGGCCCGCAACTCCCACTCACCCCCATACCCAGACCCCCGGGAGGATCTAAAAAGTAGATCCCCTGGTTTGGGGCCCTATACTACTAAGGGTACTTTATAGGATCATGGGACATAGTAAGTAGCTTATTATTGGGGCTATAAGTCACAGAAGTGGGGTTATCCTAATTGTAACCTACTCATAGCCCTACTTACAAAGTCCCATGAGCCTTTAAGTATAAGGGGCTCCTCTAAGAGTTCCTTGAAGGGGGTTCCTTTAGGGGTTCTGTCGGTTCTGGAGTAGATTCTGTAATACGTTTTTGGGTTGCCTGTTCCTTAATCGTTGAAGGAACCATTATGCAATAAAAGTCTATGCTTATTTCCCTGTGTAGGGTTAGCCTATAGTACAGGTAGTCGAGTAGGTAACCTTTAACCTTTTTTGGGTGGGGTAGCCCCTAGAAAATCCCCATATACCCAAAAAAGGTTAAACTTTAGTTCCCCATGATACCCTGAACCCTTAAAACGCCCTATAAGCTCTATAGATCCCTTTAAAGGAACCCTTTCCCTGTGTAGGGTTAGGGTTTAGAGGCTTCAAAGTCCAGCCTTTATTTACGGGGTTGGTATAACTACTATTTGCTTAAGAACCCCCAAAAAATACAAAATACATTCCTTATGGGGGTAATATAGGGATTATTATTTTTATTTTTTGGGTGTTTCTTAAGCAAATAGTAGATAAAGTCCCGAAAGGCTCGAAAGCCCCCAGATCTCACCAAAGGCAGGCCCATAACCCACCAGAAACAAGGCCTCTGCAAACCCGGGTTGAGGGTTTCGGCTTTTTAGGGTTTAGGGTTTAGGGGGTGGACTGACGACATCGTGTGGCCTAAACCCTAGCAGGAGATAGTGTGGGCGGTTGCCTGTGGCATCTACTGAATGCCTGCGCAACCTACTAAATCCTAAACCCTGAACAGACCGGGCTTCTGGTCTCAGACATAAACGGTTTCTCAGACCAAAGAAGCCTTGATGTGTGGGTGACATGGCATGCCCTTCCGCCGTTGTTCGACGCGCATTCCACTCTGCTCGTCACAGCGGGAAGCCAGAAAGAATGGCCAGCTACACCGGCTTCTGTCACAACTAACTGAATTCCGAAATCCGCTCCAGCACCAACATCGCACTCTCCAAGGCAAGGAGTACGAGAACGGACCCATAGCCCCCCAGCTCACCATCGCCCTCGCCATCGCCAGGCTCTGCAGCAAAGGATTCTGTGTCTTCGACGGCGAACAAGCTGCCCTCTGCTGACATCAGCCCACAGGAAGTCCTGGTGAAGAAGGGCCTCATCATTGAGTGCTTCTCAGTTTGAGGTGCGCCTTGCCATAGCTGATGTCAAATCGATTCCGGGAGCTTTGAAGAGCTTCTACGATGCGCGACCTTGGTTTCTAGGCGGTGTAGGTCTCCAGCCGCTGCGCTGGAAGACAAACTAAACTGTAACCCTGGGCTCTTAAATCCCTGAAACCCTAAGCCCTAAACCCTTGAACCAAAAACTGCACTGGCCCCCAAAAACGAAACCCTCCAGTTACCATCGTTGCTTTTAGGGGCTTAGCCTTCTTTGGGCTCATGGGGTGTATGAACTTCTAGGGCCTACCCTAGGCTTTGGGGGCTTTGAAAAGAAACTCTCGGCTTTGGAGTCTCTTAAAGGAACCTTAGCCCTTAACCCCTAAACCCTAAACCCCCTTATTAAAGGTGTCCTTAAAGGAACCCTAGCCCTTAAAGGAGTCTTTAAAGGAACCTTAGCGGTTGGGGGCTGATACAGGAACTTTAGTTAGAGGATCATGGGACTTAGTAAGTAGGTTATGACTGGGGTTGTAAGTCCCGTAAGTGGGGTTATCCTAGTTATAACCTACTTCTAACCTTACTTACTAGGTCCCATGAGCCTTTCAGTAGGCTTTGGGGGCATTTGGAGGTGACCGGCTGGCCGATCCGCCTGGACCTTGGCGCGGAGGGTGCAAAACGTCTCCCCAAGGCCGACCTAGGAGGATCATGGGACTTAGTAGGGTTCCTTAAGGGGCGCCTTTAAGGTAGGGATCTAGAAGGGTGCTAGAAAGGTGAGTTTAGGGTACTTAAAGGGTTATTATGGGACTTAGTAAGTAGGTTATAATTGGGGTTATAAGTCCCCTAAGTGGGCTTATCCTACTTGTAACCTGGATATAACCTTACTTACTAAGTCCCATGAGCCTTTGCGTACTTGTGAGCTTTCCCAAGGAACCCTTCAAGGAACCCTTAAAGGTTCAGAACCCTTCAAGGGTTTAGGAACCTTAAAGGAACCCTTAAAGGGTTCAGGGGTTGTAAAAGGGTTTGGGGTTTAGGGGTCTAGGGTTAGTTAAAGGAGCCCTTAAACAATACTACAAGGGTTTCCTCTAAAGGGATCTAAACTACAGCTTACTATAATTTGAAGTAAGGAAGCTTAAAGTTTAAAGGACTCCCGAAAGGGTACCAAAACGTGTGTTTGAAGAGGTTCTATAGGAACCTATACTTTCTATAATTTTGAGGGTTCGGGCTCCAGGATTGCTTGGGCCAGCGCAGCGATTCAAAGCTTGGAGTTCGGAATTAGGATTTAAGGGTTTGGGGTTTAGGGTTTAGGGGTGTAGGATTTAGGGGTGTAGGGTCTGGGGGAGTTCAGGGTTGCGGGGCTAGTTCAGTTAACGCACGTCTTGTTTTGCGAATCGCAAAGGCGCAGTTTGCAAGGCGCTGTGCCAAGCCCCAAAGCAACAAGCAACTTACTAAGTCCCATAGCCCTTTAAGTACCTTATACTCCCCCCTATAGAACCCTTTTAGATCCCCTAACGGAACCCTTGAAACAATAACAAACAAGAGGCATCGGAGACAGAGCCTTGGATTCACCCGTTTTGTAGCTTGCGAAACGCGGGTGCGGGGCAAGAATGTTGGGGAGGGGTGAGGGGGCACCAGGTGGGTGAATTTGGCGGCGGTTAGGTTCAGAGGCTGTAGGCTTCAGGGTTCAGGCTTGAAGGTTTAGGCTTTAGGGTTTAGCAGAGTTCAGGATTGAAGGTTTAGGGTCTAAGCTGGTGCTGTCTTTAATAGGGGAGGACGACCCCTCTATGCCGCGTGTTGGCCGGGGCCTGTTCCAGGCTTTTGAGCGCCAGTGCAAGCCGAATGTACTGTTAAGATTGTGGGTTTTAGTTGTTAGTACTCAGTGCATCTTTCCAGTACTGCTCGTGAGTTATTTTACCAACCACTAGTTCAAAGTACACTAGAACTGAGCTTGTGCCGATCAAATGAGAGATCGACTGGATACTTAAAGGCTCCTGGGACGTAGTAAGTAAGGCTATAAGTAGGGTATAATTGGGATAGCCCCACTTCGGGGGACTTATAACCCCAAATATAACCTACTTACTAAGTCCCATACAAGTACCCAAACAGAACGCTTATAGTAACCCTCTAAGCGAGCTATAAAGACAGAGATCGACTGGATGCAGTCTGCTCCCATCCTCACCTTGAGAAACTCACGGCCGCCGGTGCAGAGTGGTCCCCTGCGTGTCGGAAACCGAGCTTAGGGTTTAGGGGTTTAGGGGTTTAGGGCTTAGGGTTTAGGGGTTTAGGGTTTAGGGTGCAAGAGACGTCTACCACGAGGGTCCTCATGAAGCAGCGGTCAAAGTTGAAGAAGATGCGCAGCATGATGCCTACGTAGATACACCTAAAGCCCTTCAGAACTCGAACAAACCCTGATACAGCCCCTTTCAACCTGCCCAGAGACTCCAATTTCCCTTAATTACGGAATATGCCTTAAATTATGGTAGGATCCCTAATATGATTTAATGTATATTCCTTAATTAAGGGATATTGGAGTCTCTAGGTGGACAGTTTGCAGCAGGCTCGGTGCGATTGGCTACATGACCTGAGCTCGGACAGTGCTGGGCCAGACTTTTAGGGTTGAGGGAACTCCAGAAAGTTGGAATATGGTTTCAGGGTAGGATACCCCATAATTTACCATAAAGGGTTTAGGATAATCATATTCCAACTTTCTGATTTTTTGCGTTAAGGGCACAAAGCTCTTCGCGTGCAGCTGGGAATTAGTGAAGCCGCTTGGCCAGCTGGTATCACATGCCGAAGTCGGATGCCCCATGCCCAACTGCCCCGGAGACCCGAAAGCCACACGGGTTTGTGGGTTGATGGTTGTGGTTCGGGCATCTCTTTCAGTTGCCTTGGACTGTCCGTTGGTCCGTCCTTCGTTTGTCTGTGAAAGAGGGAGGGAAGAGAGAGAGAGAGAGAGAGACAGAGAGAGGGTGAAGGGAGGGAGGGAGAGGGAGGAGGGACAGGGAGGGAGCAAAGCAAGTATCGAAGGAAGGCGGAACAAAGGAGGGCGCAATATCTCACATTTTTGGCACATTCGATCTTCTCAGTTTTTGGCGTAAAAGGTGAAAGCATCAGGTAGTTGACTGCGATTATAGGAGGGCGACGAGTGTGCATACCACTGCATCCAGCGACGCCAAGTTGCCTGTTTTTTTCTGTTTAGCTGGAAATGCCGTGGAGCAGAGGACATGGACGCCACAATACTCCAGGAAAAATATTTGTTCAATGCCTGTCACTGCTCCTGCGTAGACGGCATGACTCGCCTTGAGGCGGGCGTGACACACACTCCATCGGATTTAGTGTTCAGATTCAGCCAGGCAGCAAGGATTACAGGGTGTAAGTTGTCAGGCGTTTTTTCGGGTTTGCAGTGCCAGAGTGTGTGCGCATTACTGCCGCTCATTAGTTATGCAACAAGAACTAATTCGCCAAGGTAGCCGAATTCGTCTGCACATTTGTTTTTTCCTCGACGTCGCATTGCAGCTGCCGCTACAACGTCTAAGGCTGTTGCGCTTCCAAAGTTTAGAGTCTGAACACAAGAGTGTTGGATTGCATCTTTGGGTGCTAACATCGCCCAAAGTAGTCACTGTCAAACTCCTATCTAGGATGCCAAGTAGTGCCCTTATTCCCTTTTTGTAGTCCTAGGTTCCCTAGAAAGTTACCCAATACCAAAAAGGGAGCCGTTTTTATTCTTAGGTTACTGGGCATCCTAGCTATATGTGAAGCCACCCGGGACCTCAAACTCCCTCCCGAAACCAACCCCACAGTAACCCTTAGGTTAAAGGAACCCCCTTTTTAAAGAAACCCCCAAACCCTCTAGTACCCTTATAGCAGCCCTCAAAGGAACCCCCTTTTAAGAGAAACCCCGAAGCCCCTAAGCTACAGTACCCTATAGTACCCTTATAGGAGACCCCTTCTAAAGGAACCCCTTCCACAGGAAATGTTTAAGCGCACAGAGAAAGCCGAAGACGGTCGTCAATGCATCACTCAGCCGGGCACGTCTTGACAGTCTCAAGCCCGAAGTTAGCGAGGCAAAAGTTGAGCCCAAGATGATTTTCAGGTTTAAGGATATAAGGTTTAGGGATTATGGGTTCAGGGGTCTAAGGTTTAGGGTTTATGGGTTTTATATAGGGTTTAGAGTTTAGGGTTTTGAGGTTTAGGGTGTAGGAGCATAGTGTGTGAAGGGAGTGCTTTAGGGTGTAGGGTGTAGGGCTTCGGCGGAATTTGCGGAATTTACTGGGTTCTGGAGTACCAAAAAGGCATCAAAATTATGTTGATGCTTTTTTGGGCGGACCTGTTCCGTAAAGGATCGCTATGAAACCGAAGTATATACTTTTTTCTGCTTGGATACTTCAAGATTCAGCCATGAGAAGGTCCTGTGGGATTTGGGGTCTAGGGACTAGGGGCAAGGGCGCGGGGTTTGGGAGTTGAAAGGTTTGGGGTGACATAGGATGGTTTTGCTGCAAGCAAGACCCCATTAGTGATGGTGTTTTTTGGATCTGGAGACAGGTCACAAGCAAGATCCCAGCGGCCGGCCCTTGTCCCCAACCCTGCACCCGCCGTACATGCCTCATGGGAGGTTTGCCAGTAGGGAAGAAGTTCGTTAAACTATATATAAACTTCTTTGCCGGGACTGCAGCAACGGACGTGACACTGGCAGCAACATGAACGAAAGCTTCCTGCCAACTTTTGGTTGGGGTTTTGAATGCCTGCAAGTCACGTGACTTTCGTCGTTCGGACCGACCCGTGTGTCAAAGCTCCCTATTCCTGTCGTCAGTTCTGTCAGTGTTCGTCAGAGGCTTTGTCGGCAAATGGAAGTTTCCAAAAAAATAGGGGACCCTAATATAGTACCGTAAAGAGTACGATCCTTCTTATAAGGGCCCCAAAATAACACACCCCTTAATTTTCGGAAACTCTCTTTAAATGCGTGGCGATTGCCCCAAGCAAACCTAAGCCTGCAAAAGTTGGCCAGCACTCTGCGTAGCCACCACACCCCTCAATCCATCTGAAAGCCCTGGCAGCTAAATGGGAGTTTTCGGAAATAAGCGACCCTAATATAGTACCCTAAATAGTAGGATCCTTATTTTAAGGACCCTAGAATATGGTACCCTAATTTTCGGAACCTCCCAGATCCCTAAACCCCTATCCGAGATCCTTAGACCCCGAGCCCTATACGAAATCTTGCTTCCTGTACAATCGCTTGCACTTACAGGCTCCAGAACCTTCACTAATACTCATGCCGCCCCGGTCTTTGCGTGGACCTTCAAGTGTTATATCTGTTAGGGCTTAGGGTTTCGGGTTTGCAAAGGCATATGAAATCGTGTACATCTGAATGTGTAGAGAATGCAAATAGATGCATGTATACGTCTCCTAGAAGCATATGTATCCGTTCCCAGGCGCCTCATGTGGCAGGGCCACGCAGCATGAACGAAACCCCATCACGCCCTGATAATCCTTTAATTTTAAGGGAACTTGCCAAGCCTTCTTGCCACTCGTCAAAGCCGCTTTCACGTCGACCGGAAAAGCTAATACCCCGAGGGTCTGTCGTAGCCATGGCTGGAAAGAACAACGAGTTGTTAGCAGGCCATCGGGTCCAGCGCCC